GACGTAAACTCTGAGGTGTCACAGAGTTCTATCCTCGTGTTTCAGTTTACCTGCTCCCAGGTGTCAAGGATCATAACATCATCTGTGGCGAGGTCGTCTTGGGTCATCTCCCCAGGTACCTCCTCAATCTGAGAGGAGCAGTAAGATTCGTTACGAAGGACACTAAAATCATCGGATCAGGATTATATTCTCCCGCTCATGGAAAAAGCTACGTTAGCAAACTTACAATAAAGTTTCCGGTCTTGTTGGAGCAGGCGAAGAGTCGTGGCGGGTGGGCGTCCATCTTGTCCTTGAGTCTGGTGGAGGTGCGGTATTCTGTTTTACCTCCCAGAGCCCCCCAGAACTGATCTGTAACCATAATGCACACTTATCTTATCAATCACAAACATGTTGTCATTGTCATTTTATTACTGCAGCGCTTTGAAACAACACTGATAATAAAACATACAAATAAACACAATAAAATAAACCTAAAAAAAAATCTCATTTTTCATGTATTCTGAAGAGGACATCTTGACGTCATTTGAAAGAGGAAACTATATTTGGATTGCAAGATTTCCCATTTGGCTTTGAAATCAGCTTTGCTACCACGCAGGAGAAAAAGCAAAGATTTCGGGTATTTTGGCTCAAAATTGTTTAGGGCTCAGAAAAATGCTTAAAAGTTTTTAAAGATGTTTTAGACATTTCCTTCAAGGGACTCAAATGAGGTGTTTATTCATAATATTTTGACAACATCTAATTATGGCAAACTTTTTTACACTGAAAAACCAGATGTGGTGGATTTATTAAAAAAGCTKAAGTCAAATGGTTCCGCTCAACATTTTTAAATTAAAAATGCTTTATCTGTTTTTTAAGTGTAGAACTGAAAATCCTCCAGTTTGAGTGGTTTTTAAATGATTTTTCATCTATTAGGAGCAAAATGAAAAGGGTTAGCTAAAAGCTAAAATGAAGAGGCTAACTAAAAGTAGCAAAAGACCAGATAGAGGCTAAAGTAAGCAAAGGTTTGGTTAAAACTTAAATAGWAAAAAGGCTTGCTAGAATGAAAGTCTAGCTAAAAACTCAGCTAAAAGCAGCAAAACAGTAGCTAGAGGTTAAAGTAGCATAAAACTAGCTAACTAGCTAGGGACTAAAAGTAGCGAAAGGCTGGCTAAATAAATAGCTAAAAGCAGCAAAACACTAGCTACAGGTCAAAAGTAGCAATAGTCTAGATAGGGACTAAAATTAGCAAAAGGCTGGCTAAATAAAAGTAGCTAAAAGCAGCAAAACATTAGCAACAGGTTAAAGTAWCAAAAGAAAGCTAAAAGTAGCAATCAGCTGGTTCAAGTTTAAAAGTAGCAAAACACTAGCTAATGGCTAAAAGTAGAAAAATGCTGGCTAAAACCTAACCATAGCAAAAAAAGTAGCTACAGGTTAAAAGTTACAAAGGCTGCTTTGAATCAAAAAGTACTTGAACAGTAGCTAAAAGCAAAAATTCAGCCAAACAGTAATTAAAAATAAAGTTTAAAAAAAGACAAAAAACTAAAGTGAATATGCTGAAGTAGATATAAATACAGATCAATGACCCACAGTGAAGGTCTGTTTATCATGTAGCTGCTTTTATCTTTCAGCTTGACTTGAACCAAAACACCCAACATGTTAGGTTTGACGGCACGGTGGAGCAGTGGGTCGGYGCCCGGCCACGGACCCTTTCTGGGTGGAGTTTCCGTGAACTTCCTGTGAACTTGCGGAGGTTTTGACCCGCACTCCAGTTTGGTYATGCTCAGCTGTCCCTGTGAYGGACCTGCGACCTGTTCAAGATGTCCGCCCCGCCTCTTTGCACAGTGACTGCTGGASATGGACACCGCTGGTCCCCGGTGACCCTGAAAAGGAAAACGGCGGCTCACCTGTCTCTGCTCCCTCGGACAGCTCGGAGGCCGACACTCCCAGGAGGTCACACAGCTGCTGGGCTCCCTGCCTCTCCGGGTCGCTGGCACCGACTCCCACCCAGGAGAAGGAGCCGTCGGGGGTCACGAGAACGAAGACGTCGTTGGAGTTCAGGTTAGCCGCGGCCGCGTCAACCTGCAGGATCGAAGAAACTCTGTAAGCGCCGACACAAACAAACCTTTCACATTTTCTCAACAAAGAACTTCAAATCCAAGATTTTTTCACTTTTTCTTTCGGAGAACAGAACGGCTTCCTGACACCAAACAACCACCGTATCAATCCTCACTCAAACACGAGCAAATGGTGTTTGGGGACTATTTTCAGCAGCAGATTAATTCAGATCTAGAAGAATTATGTATTCTGCAGCAGAACGGCGCCCCCTCAGAATAAACTACAGTGTGTCTGTTGAYAACATGCCTCTCAGTGCAACACTAGTGCCTCACAAATGTCTTCCTAATCTGCTCGGAGGCGCAGAGGAATCAGTTCTCGGGCTTTTGGCTGAGCACACGACACTCGTTGGAAAGGTTTTTTGTTGGCGTCGGAGATGTATTTTCAGCGACTGTGATAAAAATACAAAATCCCCTCCAGTGTTGAAGTGTTTGCTCTCTTACCTCCACGGCTCTGGTGTGGCCCGCGGTGTTGGCGCGCACCTGGAAGAGGCGGGTCTCGGCGGGAGCAGACTGACCTCCCTCCCTGGACGTCCCTCCCTTGTACACCACCATGGGCTGCCCTCCGAACAGGCTCATCAGGTGGGCCGGCTCCTTCCCCTGYACCACTCTCACCTGGTTCACAAATATCAAAACACCAATTATTAACAACAACAAAAAAAAAGGCAGACAAGTCCCTCTGCCTCATCGAAAATGTTAGGRTGCAGTTCTGATAATGAACACAAGGTGGCAGCAATGTTAAACACGTTAAACCTGATGTTCGGGTGTTTTTGTTTTCGATATGTGGAGCTGCAGTCAGTCAACAACTCTGATTCTAATTCATGAGAAGATGGAGGAAAGATAAATATTTACAGATGAGTTTGTAAAATCAGAGAGGAAAAAAAAACCTGTTTATAGCAGGAAATTTAACAAATAAAACCGACACAATAGCTTCTGTTCTCTGGTTTGATCAAATATTTGACACAGGTTTGCAGCTCGTCGCTGCTGTTGACAGAACTTCCTGTTTGGTGCCGTCTTTCTGTTAGATCCAGACATGCTGTCAGGAAGGAATAAAAATGTGTCCAAACCAAAGAAATAAAAACGATAAGAAGATATTTGCTGACTGAAGAAGTAATTTTCCCAAAATCCAAAGTAAAACGACAAAACTGAGATGTTCTTATAAAAAAAGTGACATTTTATGGAAGAGCTGTTATCTCATTAAAACACAAGGGTAAATCTATAGATTTTAAAACCGCTTCTGTCTATAAATAAATGAATAAATGGCTGCACAGATGCAGAGTCATGCAGCAGCAAAAGCTCAATGTGAACATGATGGTTGTAGATGCAAAGCAAGGACATGCCAAATAAAATAAAGACTCAAATGAGTGCAGAGTCTCTGGAACTTCGTAAAGATTTTGCATTTTTTTTAACAATCCCTTGCGGGCTCAGTCATTGTCGTTTTAGCTCAGAGTTTGGAAACAGGAGACAAACAGGACAAATGAGAAGCAGGGAAYGGGAGGGGAAATACCTGAGTGGTTATAGGAGCACCAACAACCTGAGGAGCCAGAAAGGACCAGCAACCGAGGAGGAAAGAAGCAGCAGCGGGGCAACGATGAAGGAAAAGATGTGAAATAAAACAAAAAAGGAAAGGAGGCAGAGACTGAACTGAGTGAGCCAGGAGAGCAGATGAAATTAAGGAATGTAAGTTTAGGGAAAACAAAACGTAGATTAAGATGGTTTACCTGCACAGGACCTCCACCAAGCTCATCGTCCAGCTGGGCACTGAGAATTGCACAGGCCCCGATTTCATCCTGACTGGAGTCCATTCCCTGCCTGACAAAATTTATTAGATTTCAGTTTCCTACAAGTGACGCCTCAGCAAATCAAACCTCTTGTTCTGGTAGAAATATTTGGATTTTTATCCAAGGAAGGTTGCAGTTCTCACTGCCTCGTTTTTACCAAACTTGGGGTCATTCTCAATAATCCAGGTCAAAACGTCTAACAACCTCTGGACGGGTTCTTCTTTGTCGAAACTTTTATAATTTAATTTAACCAGTCAGACCATTAAGAACAAATTATTTACAACACTGACATGTTTCAGATTGATAGGGAGGAATGTTGGTTCAAAAGTGGAGTAAATGTAGCCATCTTTGTGAAAAGAAGCATCTGCAGCGGACCGATTGACCACCTCTTACAATGCTGCTTTTGTGAGTATCCCTCAGCCATTTGTGAACAATAAGCAACCATCAGCCTAACAATTGATAGTTAGGCTGATGGTCCTTGTTTCACACATGAGCAATAGTTTTGGGTGTCATCAGCAAACAGGTTGATCCACTCAAAATAAAGCTGTTATTARGGGGTATCCCTCAGACCTTTGTGAACAATAAGCAACCATCAGCCTAACAATTGATAGTTAGGCTGATGGTCCTTGTTTCACACATGAAAAATAGTTTTGGGTGTCATCAGCAAACAGGTTGATCCACTCAAAATAAAGCTGTTATTAGGGGTATCCCTCAGATCTTTGTGAACAATAAGCAAACGTCAGGGCATTAATGATCAGTCGTTAGGCTGATGGTCCTCGTTTTGCATGTGAACAACTAGTTTTCATCTGCAAACTGGTTGATCCACTACGTGAAGGCACTGCTTATAAGGCTGAGTTTTCCTGCAGCTCCTCAGACTGAAGAAGGCTTTTGTAAACGAAATGTGACGTTCAACAAAGAAGAACCCGTCCAGAGGACCTGACTCGAGGTTGTTTTCTCACCACATGTAGATGATGTGTCCTTGACGTCCTCCGTGACGGTAGTTGTACAGGATGATGTAACTGTCTCCTCCGTAGAACTGTCCATAAGTGGATGGATCCACTGGGACCTTGTCAGACGCCTCAATGCGCCAAATCTGTGGCAGTCAGGAAAACGAAACATCACACCACTGAATCAAGACCAGTGTTTTTCCACGATCTGTCTGAGGCATAATCCACTCACCTGTTTCTCTCCACTGCCGTCATCCACCATGCCGTGCTGAGCTGCCATGGAGGGGGAGTCGTGGAGGCTGGCAGCGTCGAAGGGCACCTTCTCGATCTTGGCGATGCTGTTGGCGATGTAGGCCACGCCCAGGCCCTCCGTCTGGTCTTTGTCACGCCAGTTCTTGAAGAACTGCTTGAAGAGCGGCGTTTCGCCCGTCTCCGGCAGAATCTGCACCGACGTGTGTTTGGGGTAACCCATCTTCTTGATGAACTCGTCGGCTGCCTTCATCGCTGCCTTTCGCTCATCCATGTTGGCATCTTTGCCTGAAGAGAAAAGATAATCATTTCAGTCTTTTTGAATTTTTTTTTTTCACAGCCACGTCTCCAGTGTGCACCGACCTTTCCAGACAAAAATTTTGCCATCTGAGCCGTGATCCAGGATGAAGCAGTCGCCGGACTCCAGAGCACTCTGGGCAAACGGGTTCTCTGCTGCCACCAGAGCAATGGTCATGCCTCCACTGGCATTGGATACCTGCAGGAGTGAAAACAGAGGCAGCTTRATAATATATAATAATAGAACTATTCATTCACAATATTTTGGGTAACAACTTGAAAATAAAACCCTTTTATCAAGTAACTTATTGCAGATGATACTGCAAACATACAGATAAGGAAGCGGCACACGGTCCTGGTTAATTTTTTACATGATTTACAGAATGAGATGAGTCAAACAGTTAATAATCAGAACATGTGGGTTTTATTACTCATTCAATCATAAAACAGGAAGATCTTGTAAAACGAATAGAAAAAGTGAGTTACTGTATATTAGTTCTCGTCTATGCAGACGACGCTCAGCTGTACATGCCAATAAAAATCTCAGATTCTAGATGATTTCCTAATGTCACAACTTTTTATTACTTTTGAGTTGTTCAACTAAAGCAGATATGTGTGAACTAAGCAAAAATGTATATAATTAAAGAAAAGGTATCTCTAAGAAGATTTTAAGGTTGTGTAAATGGTGAGAAATCTACAAAAGAGGATTAGGGCCACTGAGAAAAAAATCAGAATTCTGAGTTTAAAGGAGACATATGATGCGTTTAAATCCTTCAGTTGGGTCTTTATAAAAAGGAACTGCAATGCTTTGGTCTGAATTCCTCCTCATTTTAACTTTACCAGCTTCTCTTTCACCAATTTTCTGCTGTGTGTCTCAAAGCAGCTGATTTTGTTGCTGTTCCTTTAAGACAATTCAAGCCCCGCCCCCCTACGGCTTCCAGACCGGTCCACTCGCAAAAGATGTCTGGCCCAGAACCAGAGGAAAAATAAGACCAGGAAATTGTAAGTCCAGGCCTTATTTGGCAATTTAGTCGCAAATCATTTGACGTAATAGACTTAGAAAACATTAAGAATACAGAAAACTGAACAGGTTGAAAATTTTGACCCAAGCAGAATATAAAGATAATTTTGCTGCTCAGGAAGAGAATAAATTCAAATTATTTTCCTCCTAGAGACTCCAAGTCCACAACAAAATGTATTTAACAGCTAAAAAAGTGGATTTTACATGAGATGTCCTCTTTAAGACATAATTCTGACTTTGTTTACGAATGAGGATTAGGGACACTGAAAAGAAAAGAGAATTCTGARATTAAAGTCAGAATTTTATTGAATTTTTTCCAGTGGYCCTAATCCTCTTTCTTTAAAATCAGAATATCTGTTTAATACATTCGTTTGTCTTGCTTTTATTGTCTGCCACAAGTTGAAAAATATCCAGGCTGTTAAACGTAACCCTTGCTTCTTTAAACACATTCATTCGGATCTGCTCTACCTTGTAGAGTTTCGCCCTCTTCCTGTTCGAAGCATCGGCTTGGACGTCGTCGGAGGCTCCGGGAGGCAGGTCTGGTTTGGGACCTAAAACCTGCAAGCAGAGGCGATGATTTAATAAAAGTCTCAGTTTGGGAGTTGATTGATTTAATTTTATATTTTCTTTCTTCCGGTTCGCCGGTCTCACCTCCAACATCTTCTCCCTCTCCGCCCCCTCGTCGCAGACGTACACCCGGGCCCTCCCGCTGCGCTCGTTGTCACGGATCCCCTTGGCGACCTGAGTGGCCTTCAGCTTCTCGAAGCGGTTGCTCTGCGAGCCGCACCACTGATAAATCTCCTGTGGACGGGGAGGAAGAGGAGCAGATGGCTAATTAAACTGCAGCGGGTGTAGAAGCTAATTAACGGAGCTGAAGACGCGTTGCTGTTTGACGATGACACGTCGTTGTCTGACTCACATCTCCCAGGTCCAGGATGAAGCAGTCCCCCTGGTTGAAGCTGTCCCAGCTGACCGCCACCTCCGTGGCCCTCACAACGCGACGACCTTTGATCTGCAGCACGCGCTGCACCGACACCTCGTTGGTGACGACGTGCTTGAACCCAGACGCCACGCCTCCTTTCTGCAACGTGAACGTCCCGTTGTCAGCGAGGGTGACGTCAGAAGGGATTAAAACATTAATAATGGTCTTACCATGTATTTGATCCCAGACTTGAAGTAGCCCAGAAAGGTTTTCGACTCGTGTCCTTGCACCTCACGGTACTGGATGGGTTTCCCCCCCAGGAAGTCGTCCATTTGGACTGTAAAGATGGCAGCTGATCCGCTCTCATCCTGGGAGCAGAAGTCACCTGTGCAGAGGTAAGTAAGGTATTCTAGTAATCCTTAGCAGGTGGAAGCRAGTCTGGAGAGGTTGAGGTTTAGAGAAGGATGATGTAATGAGGAGGTAGAGGCATCTAAGCAGAGTCTAGATTTTAAATTTTTTGTTGACCCAATAATCTATGTGCAGTGGATCCATCTCTGAGAGAAAACACGAGGTCAGCAGAATCAAATCAGGCCCTTTGTCCTTTTTTATTGGTCAGTCAAGCAGATTTAAAGGAAACTAAAACAGAGRGGCTATACCAGGGATATTCAAATAAATTGCTCCGCTGCCACAGTTAATGCTCAGGAGCCAAACATCCAGCATTTAAAGTCATTATGTGTCACATCTGATGGAGCTACGGTCTGGTCCCAGACTCACCAAACGACACTCAAACCACTGGAAAGTCTTTACAATCAGGCCTTAAAGGTTTTATGTCAAAAGCCAATCAGATTTCATCATTGCAATATTTTAGCCAAATTCGGTATTTTAGACTTTTCCAATTTTCTTCAAATGCTTAAATGGATTTTCACCCGAACCATTAAGTAGTTGTATACAGGAACTGCAGGGCTACAGYAGATCTACCAGGGCAGCCTCAACTGTAAAGTCCCTTTTTGTTGAACCACTTTTGCTCAAAGTACTTCGTTTGGAATTCACTTCCTGTTAGTTTAAAGTCTGTGACCAGGTTCGACATGTTTAAAAAACAAACTAAACTCTGTTTAAAATGTTTCATGTCTTAAAGTCTGATCATACTTTTTGTTTTATTTATGTTTATAATGTTTTATTGTATGCTGTAGTGTCTTTAATTTGTGTGTATGACTGTTTATATGATTAATTTTACTTAAAAAATTTATACTTTTTAGGCACTGTTTAGATATACTGTTTATAAAATTCCATCTAGGGACAAGTGCTGCAAATTAATTCATGCTATTAGCACCATGATACAAGCATGGGACTGCTGTTTTATTCAGTCTGTCTATGTTGTTGTGTGTCTGTCCTTATCAAATAAACTTAACAATAATAATAATGTAACTAAACCAAGTATTACAAAGATCTGTTACCTTTGAAATAGTTTATTTTTGCTGCATTTAATCATGGATATAACTTACAGAACCCTATGGAATAAAAGTAGTGATAGTAAAACAATATCAAAAACTAAAATAACACATTATGCGTCCTATTTAACACAAATAATATTTTGACATCTCTGACTTGCCAACTTTTTTAAACTAATTTTATTGTATTTTCAACTGCTTGTAGTTTTAACTGTCTTGGATGGTCATTGAAATGGTTTTTACCAGCTTCTAGCCAAGATTCTGATATTTCTGTAGACACCAAACACATCTATGTTTAACTAAAAGAACTCTGTAATTAAAGTAGAAAACCAAGGGTTTGGAGATGAATGAACGAATTGGCGGGCCGAACTTTGGTCACTTGTTGAACAACACTGGGCAATAAGATGGAACAAAGAAAGTTATATTCAACCAAAAACATACTGAGCACTAAAATTCAACAACTCCTTCATGATTATTTAAACCTGTAAAGTTTTATTACATTTTACTATCAGCCTGAATTAAGCAACTGAAATTGAACATATTTCTGCTTTTACTGTAATAAATGACCCTAATGTGTCACCTGTCCCTGACGGTAAAACTGTGGATGATAGATGTACRGAAAAGAACTTACATAGAAAAGAAAAATACTACTTTAATGTCGRTTAAAGTATCGACAAAGCAACAAAGAGAACAGACAGAACTGAACTTTAAAAATTTCCATAATAGGCCCTAAAATGAAACTTGTGGGGTTTTTTTTGTTGCTCACCGAGCCAGAAGTGGAGGTCGTACTGCAGGTTTCCAGAGCGCTGCTTGATGGTGTTGAGGATGAGGTAGGCGTCTCCGGTGTAAAACCCTCCGTGCAGGTTCTCGGGAACGGGCACCAGGTCGAAGTTCTCCACCCTCCACACCTGGAGGCCCGGCTTCTGACCGGCCCGCTCGAACTCTGGGTGCTGCGCTGCCATCCTGCCTGCAGAGAAACGTAGAAAGCTTTTTGTTTTAAAATATAAATCTTCTGGATGGGAGACAGGAGGGGGGCCGGGGCCGGGGACGCCCTAGTCATGAGCTCTGGGAAACACAAAGCCACTCCCTTTAGGGCTCAGCTGTTGTCATGGAGGCAAAGATCAAATGTGGAGTTCTGGTTAGTTATTAATACACATGAGAGTGAATCACCACCGTGAGTCGGGTATTTCCTTCTTTAGGCAGCCAGAGGAAATCCTGTGAGCTGTTACTGATGGTTACAAATAAAAACAGACTTTTTATTTTGACAGTTGAGTCTAACTTCAGTACAGTGGTATAAAAGCTAGTAAAGCTAYGTGACTCCACCTTATTGAGGCATCTGGGGGTGTATTACCTCCCAATAGGGCCTACCAAGGCAGATTGATTCTGGGTGACAAGTGAGACAAAGAGCAAAACAGCACAAAACTCAGTGTCCATCACCCAGACCTGGATTACCAGGGCCCCATACTGAAGCTAGGCCTGGGGGAGGGACTCAGTGGTGAAAAACCTGGTGATCATGGGGTCCAGTCAGTCGATTCACGTCTCATCCTCCACTCTGTTGGCAGATCGTCGGCAGGCGTCTTCGGTTTTATCGTCGCGGCTCTATTTATCGTGCGCTAATAAGTTCTCCTAAAACAGATAAAAAGGTTTGCGCCTCTCTCCAGGGGGGGTTTGCAAGTTCYGTCTTGGCTCAGTCGATCCACGGTCATTATCTCTCGAGCTCAGCTTGAACCGGGGTGGATCCAAACACCAYGCAGGAACTGGAAATRGAGACACATTTGGCCGAGGTTGAATAGATGAGAAGCGATTAAAGGCACACCAATGGAGTTGGGGCTTCAGGTTCAGCTTCCTGTTGGTGAACCGCAGACTMGATCTAGTGAGGCTCACCTACGTGTACAGCATAGGTTCTGGAGTCAATCCCATTSAAACAGTGAGAGGTGCCAGGCTGGYGTGGGCCTCCTTATCGYCTCRTAACTCGAAGCTTGTATGTTTGAGTTTTCCCCAATAGATGAGATGGTAACTTCCCTGAATGCTGTTGCCAATCCGCCAAACTTTGGGGGACTCGGATGTGATTGGGGATCTCTCTGATCTGAACCCAAATRGTGTTCCATTGTTGGACTTCKGTTCTGGTCACGGTTTGTCCCTAAGTTGGCGTGGCGGCATGGGACACCCTYGGCCAAAAACTCATGATAGACTTTGAGTTTAAACATTTTTTTCCAAGTGCARCACAGCTTGATTTCTCTGAATGCCACCTTTTTATATTCCTTATTTTAGCCATTATTCAGTTACAAGCTCCTCGTGGCAAATCTCAAGTTTAGGTGTTACGAAATGAAGGATCACACAGTTCCAATATGAATACAGGCCTCAGTTTTCCACAGGAATGCCGTCCAAATTGGACGAACAGCCGTCCACACTTTGGCAAGAGTGGCGGATTGTTTCAGTCAGCTGTCTGCCCACAGTCACGGCAGGAATCTGCTCCCAACCCTGGAAGAAGGAAGTGGCTTCGAATCCACCCAATGTAACCCAACCAGAGGAGAGATTCCCGTTTCCCTTTTTGTTCTGCAGTTTCTGTCCAGCGTTTTGTAGCTGTTTGAACATTCAACATGGAAAAAGTATGCAGGTTTATTTTAGCAACAACTCCTTTTAAAGTCAAATATTTCCATTTTTTCCTTTATTATTTTGGTCACAACTTGTCTGAGACAGTCGATGAATCAGATCTAAGTAACCATGACATTATAGAGTCATCAGTATGCAGGATATTTATTCAAGTTTGAACATTTTTACTGAAACAGAAGACAYGAGGTTAAAAACTGGAATAACTGTGACTAAATCAGGGCAAATATAGTACAGTTGAAGTCTGGAAACAAATAAAATCAACTATGAACCACTAAAAGACCCTCTGTAGCTTGAACAGTTGGATCAGCTCAGTCAACACGGTCCTGCATTTTTGTGGTTCTGTMTCCACACAGCAGAYAKGTGTGGGCCAGATCTGGTGTCAAGCTGGCACTGCTGGCATGGAAAGTGGTTTGTCAATCAAATGTGGGCCAGGTCTGGCATAGATGCCACAACTGACCAAATTGTTGTTTGGTTTACATGGCTGAATTCCAACAGTGCCACAACAGGCCTGGTTGTGGTTTGGTTTACCCTATGTGGCCCAAATCTATCAGTGCCACAACTGGCTCAGAAGTGGTTTGGTTGGTTGTATGTGGCMCAAATCTGTCAATGTCACAACTGGCCCMGCTGTGSTTTGGTTTACATGGCCCATATCTATCAATGTCACAAATAGCATGGTTGTAGTTTGGTTTATGTGGCCCAAATCTGTCAATGTCACAMMTGGCCCATGTGTAGTTTGGTTTACTGTATGTGCTAGAATSTGTCAGTGCCACAACTGGCTCAGAAGTGGTTTGGTTGGTTGTATGTGGCCCATATATATCAATGTCACAAATAGCATGGTTGTAGTTTGGTTTATGTGGCCCARATCTGTCAGTGCCACAATTGGCCCAGTTGTGGTTTGGCTTACTTGGTCCAGATTTGACAATGCTACAAGAGGCCCCAGTTGTGGTTTGTTTACATGGCCCAAATCTGTCAATGCCACAACTGGATTGTGTGTAGTTTGGTTTACTGTATGTGCTAGAATCTGTCAATGTCACAACTGGCCCAGGTGTGGTTTGGTTTACTGTATGTGACCCAAATCTATTGCCACAACTGGTCCAAAGGTGGTCTTGTTGTCTGTAAGTGGCACAAATCTCTCAATGTCCGAAATGACCTGGTTGTGGTTTAGTTTATATGGTTCTGGCCCATGCATGGATCACCTCTGGCTAACCACATCTGGGCCACCAGTAGTATCTGGGCCGGGTGTTAAGAGTATTCAGTGAGTTGCTTGGGCCAGAACTGGGCCAGACAGGCTTTGCTGTGTGTAGTATATTGTTGGATGAAGTGAGTCAAGGGGGCGGGGTCTGTTTGGATCTGAACCCTCTCAGCCGTGAGCGTAAATAGAACAGGTCACATGATTACTGGTCTGAGATTCCTCACAGACTCGCTGTCTGCTCGCTGCTCTGCTGAGTGGGTTTATCCTCTGGCCCACTCGCCACCCCGTCCTCAGCTGGCAAACACTGCGGGCCGCTCTAACCTCACATATTTCCTCCCCTCCCCCACTCCTCACTCCGTTGTGTCCGCCCCTCGCTCGAGGCCTCGACTCAGAACGAGTCCCTGCAGATCCTCACCTCACCGTTAACATTCATCTGCCCTGAAAACAAACTCAAAATCCGATTATTTATCTGTGAAACCTGGACTCCTGCGCCTCAAAAGCTCGTCTGTTCTGAGTTTCCATCCCCCCACAGCTTTAAGAGTCCTCCTTCAGGATCAGGAGGGAGGGGGGGCAGTTTTTTGATGACTCATTTTCTCCATGCATGCCACTCTCAGCTCGATCTGGACGCCCTGTGTGGATTTTAGACGTCCAAACTGCTTCCCTGATTACCGTTTACACGWTGAAAATGTCTGTTTACGGTTCCAYCAGCCGAGGTGGTTTGTGACGACATGAAGCATCAAGAGGAGTATTTTATAAAGACTGAGGTGTGGGCAGAGAGAGCCCAGCTGCTGTGAGGGGCGTGACATTAAACACTGACGTTAGTGGAAGTGAGGATTTGACTTTTCTTGGGATGTTTAATTTTCTTTAAGCGTCAGTTTGGAGAGAAACGAGCTGACAGATTTTATTTACCGACCTGTTCTCGTTCAAATAAACAKTCAGGAGCTGATTCAGACCCTAAAGACCTGAGAAGTCTAAACTTAAACTGCATTTGAGTTTAAACGGGTAGATTTGCACTGAAAATGAGACGCTAAACAAACAAAGCAACACAGTTCAGGGCAGGCAGAACTGAGGCGACAGAAAGTGGGTGTAGACACCAAACTTAACATTTCAGCTGATATTTGTGTTTCCGGATCAAATCATTTTAAMCCTCCTGCTGCCCTCAAGTCTAAATGACCCAGTCTCAGGTTCAAACGACCCACAAGGTCTCAGCCTTTAAAACTGAGAGCAGGAGGAGAGTTCTGGATCAATTTATGTCTTTAATTTTCCACCAAACGGCCTAGAAATCAGTGGTGAGCACAGCTAACCAAAAAAGTTAGCATCACAAACCACTAAATCTTAGCTTGGCTAAAACTAAACTACAAGAAAAATTAGAGGGCGCTAACATTAACTGCTAACAGCTAAATTGAAATAAAATTTGGAGGAAGCTAATGCTAACCGCTGAACTGAAAATAAAAAGTAGATAAAGCTAATGCTAACTGCTAAACGGAAAGAAAAATTAAAGGAAGCTAACGCCAGCCGCTAAGATGCAAGAAATATTAGAGGAAGCTAATGCTAACCGCTAAACTGAAAGAAAACTTAAGAGGAAGCTAACATTAACCACTAACCACTAAATTGAAAAGAAAAAGTAGATGATGCTAATGTTAACTGCTAAACAGAAAAAAAATTAAAGGAAGCTAATGTTAGCTGCGAAGCTGCAAAAAATATTAGAGGAAGCTAATGCTAACCATTAAATTAAAAGAAAAAATAAAGCTAATGCTAACTGCTAAACAAAAAGAAAAATTAAAAGAAGCTAACGCTAACAGCTAAAGTCCACCAGTCTTCCATTAGTCAAACTGATCAAAACCTGTTGTTAGTTATATTCTATTGGTTTAATTTGAAAGTGGGCGGGAACATCTGTGGCAAATTGGCCAATCCAAACCAGAGCTCTGTCTAAATTGKGCAACTTCCAGTTTAACCCTTTCAGAATAAAAGCATTTCTTTGCTCGAGTTTGAAGTTAGTCAGACTTTCTCTACCATAGTTTAGCAGCCTGATTTCTAACAARTAAAGAGAACATATCACTCCTGTTCTAGCATCTCTTCACTGGCTTCCTGTTCATTTCAGAATTCACTTTAAGATCTTCCTGTATGTCTTTAAATACCTAAACAACTCCGCCCGTTTCTCACCGTGTATCATATGTTCTGTGTGTACTGTAAATATAAACGCTCCATATTTTTATCTGTATTTTGACTATGTCCTGTTGTGTCTGTCTACTGTACAGCACTTTGTTTGGCCTTGTGCTGTTTTAAAGTGCTTTATAAATAAAAGTGGTATGGTATATTTTATATGTAGTCAGTTTTTGTATTTGTTACTTGTAAACATTATTTTTGACGCTCTTAGTTTGAAGTTTTGTTGCTAAAGATGCTACACAACACATCCAGCACTGCTTGTAAGAGCAGATAGATTTTATTTAATTCTTTAAAAATGGCATAAAAATAGAATTTTTACACTTTTAGTGGACTTAAAAGTAGTGGAAGTCAGTTTATTGGAAGCCAGTTGGTTAATSTGCTAAATGAGAAGCTAGAGATGCTGTTAATGGGTTAGCTGGAACTGTGACCCCACTAATTAAAGTGTTATAAAATACTGTTTCTTTACTTCCTTTTAGATAATCGCCTCAAAACTTTCAGCAGTTGTTTTGTCAACAGCTTCAGGCAGAAGTTAGGATGAAAATTCATCCGTTCAGTTTTATTGGTCAMCCTTGATAACATTGATTGTTGCTGCAGCTGCAGTTCTGTCTGACTCATCTTGCGGCCACACAGGATGCTGTGACCAACAACTTCCTTAAACAGCAAAACATTGTTTTCAATCATCTCCTTGACAACCAGAAATGCCCCTTAATACAGATTACAGAGGGGGGAAAAAGATGTTTGTAATAAAATAAATAAATAAAGCAGCTTGATTTCATAAAAACACAGTAAACGTTGCAGAGCAGAGGAATCACTCATCGGTTTTCACACGGTTTTCTTTCAGTTTCTGCTCCAAAAAGATAAMGGAAGTAGCTTTAAAGTCATTTCTAAAACATGTTTGTACAGAAAAGCTGCTCCAACTGAGCCGAGCTGCTCAGTTTATCTGTTCCTGTAATCTGTTTCTGCAGTCCAGACAGGAACTAAAAGGTCCTCAGATTACAGCTGGATAATCTGAGCTCCTCTACAGATAAGAAAAGTTGTGTGATTTACCTGAATGAGGAGGTTGATGAGGGACGAATGGAGGGATGGACGGGTCTGAGCCTTCAGCTGCAGACAAGAGAGGAGCTGCAGATCCGGACACTCCCTGAACACCTCCCCCTCCTCCTCTTCCTCACCCAGAGAGGAGGAGGAGGGAGACATCTATCGACCCTCTGATGTCTCCCTCCTTTGGAGGATTTGTTCTCTGAATCAGACACAAAACACATCAATAGTCAAAAGTTAAATAATAGTAAAATAATCAAAAGTTTTATTACTTTTTTTTTCTAACAGAATGAGTTAACTGTTGGTGTAAACACAGAGTCAGAAACTGGCCAATGAAAATGCGACAAACAGGTCACATGATCCACACAAGCCCCGCCCCTTTCAACATTCCTTTTACAGAAAAGTTCATTTTTCACTCAATTAATCCCAAACCTAAAATCTTAACCACCTTCATTTGTTAGTAAATAAGTATTTCCAACATATTTTATCACACATTCATCAAATACACAAAATAATAAAAATTTACAAAACAGAAAGAGGTGACATTTACCAGAAAGAAATATCAGAAAAGAATCCAGATTTATCAGGGTGAAAAATAAACTTCAAGCTTTAAAAATATTGTGATTTGTGTGTGAGTCAGGGTATTGGTATAAAGTTTTAAATCGTATTTACCCTAAAATAATTATTGTCATTTTTAAATGTGATTAGTTTTTGTGCTCCATGATGT